GGGGGGGGGGGGAGAAAAGTGCTGTCGACGCCATTAATTCGATTGGACGAGTCCCGGACCGTAGGCCTCGGGGATCCATTATGTATTAGGAGGATCGGTCCGCGCGGCCCGGTAAGATTAAAGTCCGAGCGATCACGAGAAGCCGCCGACTCAGCCACGAAAATCCCGAACATAATTTTCCCCACACGAGGTCCCCCGGAGTCTCCCCCGAGATAATACGATGTTGCGGCTCGGATACGGATTGCGGAAACACTACTTGCGGCGAGTCGCTGTCGATGTCTCGCGCTTAAGATTATCCGGGAAATTGATTATGGGAGTCAAAAGGGGGCAACGTCTGAATATTTTAAGCTGATACAAAATCCCTCTTTGAAAAAGGTACTCGAAATGATTGTTGAAATTACCTCCTTTCCACGACGCTGATTGGCCATCGTCGCTTGCTTCACGCGTGTCGTACGCGACTCGAATCATCACGTGAATTCTGACAGCTCATCAATTTGCGTGTTGAGGAAGATAGAAAATTAAAGTATTACAGAAAACGGAGAAGAGGAAAGAAGGCTTTTGGATGGAAAATTTTAATCTGACATTTATTTACTTATATATTTAATTATATGAACTGAAATTTTTACCGTGCAGTAGTAATTAGTTAATAGCGTATATAAACTAATAGCCAATTGTACATCTCCATGATATCATTTGTACCAGTCAGGCGAAATAGAGATCGCATAAGAAATATCGCGAACTTCTATGAAATATTCCAAGAGAGAGAGAGAGAGAGAGAGGAGGGAAAAGGAAGAAAGGGGAAGGGAAAGGGACGCGGTAGAGCGATGAATGGATAAACGGTTAGTCGGTTAAAGTCGGACTGCTGCTGTCGAGATTAATCGGATCTTTCGCAAACAGCGTAATTATTATTAATGACAGGCCGGCTGAGCGTAAGAACCTCCTTCGCGCTAAAAGCGCAAAACGACTACCGGGCTACCGTTTCCCTTTTTTTCTTTTCTTCTTTTCCTACGCCGGCAGCCTCTTCAATCTGCCGGTAACGTCTGAAAAGCTGAAATTGCGGCCAAGTGGTGGTGCCGGCGGTGGTGGTGGTATAGGAAGCGCGCTTCCACGAGACAAAGCCGGATTGTTCGGCCGCGCGCGGAGGAAGAGGCGGAACGATCCCGGGGCTTCCTGCAAACTGAAACCCGCCGCCGTTTCTCCACCTCGCCGTCCCTGCCTTCGCCCGCAACGTAGCGAGAGCTCGTTATATTTAAGCCGAGAAATATATACACGTGTACGCGCCAGTTAACGCTGCTGTTACACGTGACTTGGTTAGCGCATTCACCACGGTACGTTGCGTCTTGGTATCGCGAATTAAATTATTTTCGTCGTCATATACGCGCCGGGGCATAACGCGGCCAATTCTAGCGCCGCCGAATTCCGTCGCGGCGCAATTTAGCGGCGAGCGTTCGCAGACGCGGCGCGCCGCGGTTGACGCGTACAATTCTAAGGTGGGCCGTCGCTTCTTAATGCGAGAATAACGGCGTGTTAATTAAACCGCTGTTCGACATTTTTCACCGCGCGCTCTCCCGACTCGACCCGATACAGCGATCTAACCCCTCTCAATCCTGGCGTGTCCTCAATGATGGCTGAGGATATAATATCGTGAAAAATGATATTTTCATTGTGATCTATTTAAATGAAGGAAAATAATTTTTGTTGGAGAAGCTGCAAGTTTTATGCTGTCGTAGTAAATAAATATACATGATGTCTTTTTAAGTAATACCAGTATTTTAGCGCTTGATTTTTGAAGTAATTTTATGAATAAATGAACGTATATGTTCATGTGGACTTTTTCTTTTATAAAGTGGCATCACGAATTAACTTTTGAAATATTGGACAGTATTAAAAAAACCACTTTGTATATTCATTTGCTGCGACAACATAAAATTTGCTTATCATTCTAAATTATTTTTCTCCATATGTGTCATTTAATAGAGTGCTCTTGAAGCTACCTAATTATATAGATATAATTTACTTACCTTCAAAAAAGCAAGTAAACTTTCATAATTTTTTAACTCTTTTTGCTAAAATCACTTTTCAAATTAAACTTTTAAAATTCTATTTATGTCCAACTGAAATTCCCCTACTAAAATAACATTAAATTTCCATAAAAACCGGGTCGTACAAAAGGTCAAGAATATTTTGACAAACTTATTAAAGCCAAATGTGAACTGATTTAAACTCGAGTGCGTTGCGTGCATTCACGGCGGGGATAATTGTTATGGAGTCGTCGATCGATTAATAGATAGGGGAGAAGTTTCGGCTTATTGAGACTTAACAATATCTTCATAAGGAAAGCACGCGATATATCCGCCGTGTATATAGAAAGGGATATAAATCTCTCGGAATAACAGGAAACGTTCGGAATAAGAAGTAATAGAGAACAGACCGGCTCTCAAATGTCGCAATTCAAACCGCGAGGCAAAAACCATTTGGAAGGAAATGGCTGTAAAGTCGGCCACGTTGGCTGAAAGGATTCGTGTGATTTCTTTGTGAAAGTAATTCGTCTATATCCACGGCCCCGTTCCCTCTACTTAGAGCTTACCCGGAGCTTTAAGATTCACCTTATTTTATTGGAGAGACCCAATTCGTGTTCCTCCCGTGAACATTTCGCTGGAGGAATTCTTCAGAAAGTTTCGTAATCTTTACATCCGTCGAAACCTCCCTTTCATCCGACCGAAGAATCGCGCGATGTGCTTTCGGTCATTTTAAGTTATCAAACAAAAGTAATTGAGACGACCTGTTGAAAAGTTCGTTGGTGTTAGTTAATACGTCAAATATTGATTCTCGATCGCACTTACCTTCAAAATTGAGACATATTCGGATGAATTTTCATTTAGAGAAAGTGTGTTATATTTAGAGAAAATTTAAATTATTATTTACGTAATTTTCGCATTATTCGCATTATTCGTTATTCACATCATTTGTTATTTACATTATTATTATTATTATTTATTATTCACATTATTATTTATGTCAGTAATTATTCGTTATTGGTATTCGTCCCATATTATTTGCATGCGTGTATGTAAATAAATTCTTGTTTTATTATATTATTTTTATTTAATACATTATAATATAGTATATTATAAAGTAGATAACCGAGAGAACAAGACAAATAATAAATGACGAATAACGAATAACATGAAAAATGAATAATGCAAATAACCAATCAATTATTCGTACATTCGTTCGAATAAATAATTTAAAATGAATATTGTTATTTGTGATAACTTCTGCAAACGATATATAGTTGTTATTTTTATAGATTTATCTATTATTTCAAGCCAAATTTGCTCGAGTCTACCTACCTTTAAGGATCCTCTCGATATCTAGTGATTCGGCGTGCGTTGTGCGTTTGTGTCCAATTATAAAAAATTCATTGACTCGATATTACATTTTGGTACAATGCGACCTAGACCTAACGAAGATGTGCAAATATCTACGTGAATGGCAGAGCGGATACAAAATAGCAAAATTGTGAGAACGTCGATTACAGTAAAGGGAGTATCACAAATGTCGGTGATTATTATTGTAAATATCATTTATTTGACTCTTAGGCGTCATTGGGTACAACGATTACACCACGTTGCTTATTTGTAACATCTTAGCGATCTGAAAAGAATCGGGTTCGTCGAGTAGACTAAATCATAGTGAAGACATCTCAGGTATGTTTATCTCATATCTATAGGTAGTGCCGACCGCGATCGCGCGCAGGTAGAACGTACCGTGCGACGACGTGTTACTATTTAGCCGTCGGCAAGCCGCGAGTACAAATTCTATTTTTACAAAATTAGGAACCACCGAATTCACGAAAGAGTTGCACTAAGGATGCTCGAAAGAAGCGAGGGATCGGCCGGGGAAACGAGACGCGTCACGTCCCGCCCGATCGGGATAGATCGAAAGTATCGTAAAAGACAACGACGTCCGTGTTTCTCACGATGACTACAGCTAGGTTCAATGAGGACGTTTATAGGACACAGTGTACTTTATTGTAACGGTTCTCGTTGAAAAGTTTGTCATTCAAAGCGCCGTCGTCGTCGTCGCCGCCGCTTTGTTTTCTCAACGAAACGAGCGTTGCGATCGTGCGAACGAGATTCGGGAGGGGGAAGGCGAACGAGAACTTATGTGGCTAAATAAAACTTTATAAAAATATATCAACGAATAATAAATATATCTCTAACAGCGTCATTGTATAATTCGTCATGTACGGGCGTACGATGTAGCCTATGCATTTACAGTCACTATATACACGCTATCAAACTCTACTTACCTAGGTAATATACAACAATTTATTTTTTTAGTCGCTCTATCCTCGGGAATATTTGACGTTGCACAATTAAACCGGCTCTCATTCGGTAGTACGACCATACGAATCCTCTTTTCTTATTTCGGGGTATGCACGCGTGAAAGAGAGGGAGAGAGACAAAGAGTGAGGAGGAGAGATCTCCCGTGCGCACCCAAGTAGAATAGAAAATGACGTGGAAATGACGTCGAAATGATGAAAAAATAACCGAAAAATGTCCCAACAAGATGACAACGTTAGATAACGTCTTGATAACATTTTCATGACACCTCTAACGCTAATAAGACGTCATTCGACCGTCACCTTATTAACCGAAAGGTTTAACCATCATCTTCTCGTCATTTTGACGTCACTCTGACATCATCGACGACATTTTCCGCTCGACCCGGATATCCCTTAACCGCGGGATTTGCCATGATCTCTCGTGTCTTCGTCTCTTCCGTCGCATCGCGCCGTCCCGTTCGCTCAATCGTTACTATTTCGCATTACGGCGGCAGTATCCGTGTTACTCACCGTGGCTGTGTTTCACAATGTTATAATGATTACAATGCGGAGCGCGCCGAGCGGTTCGGTCGCGCGCGTTGACCGGCCGTGTGCGAATCTTTCGTCTTTCGCTCGCACAAAGTACGCGCGCCCGACCGTTCGGAGGAAAGAGAGGGAAAGAGAGAGAGAGAGAAAGCAAGAGAAAGAGGAGAAAAAGGGGGAAAAGAATTGGTCTCCGTTTCGTCCTGATCCCTACACGCGGGAACACCGTTCCCACACACAATTCGAACATCAGAGATTATTATTTATCACCTATACAAATATATACACGTCGTATGCGGCGTATCGCGCGTGTTTCGAGCGCGTTCGGAGCGCGGAGTGTTTCGTAGTTTACAAATTTCCCGTCTATATGAATACGCATCCACCGTCCCCTCCTTTCCCTCATTATCCTCGTTATAAGGCCAGAGAAGGACGCATCGATCGTACACCTAGAGATCGAGTTGCGATTACGTGTCGTCTCACCGTCGGCTCACGGGGTCATTCCATCGCGCGGAATCTCGTGACGAACGGCAGCGATTCCTCCTCCTCCTCCCCGTCCTGCTCCTGCTCGCGACCGTGAATTCGTGAACGCGTCCGGCAGGATTCGTCCGGAGACGAGAACTCGCGTAATCCGAGGTACGCCACAAGGCCGTAGTGGTCCCCGCGTTAGCGGGGCTTCCGTCGAACTTCATTGCGTTCGCACAATTCGGTGATGCGCGCGCGAGGATACGCGCATCGTGGACAAAACGCGCGGAGGAAATCCGTCGGGAGAGAATTTCGACATTATGTACAAAGAAGATGTCCTCTCTCTTCGCCTTCTGGTAGAGAGCTGAACTCCTCCGGGCATCGCTTCCGGTACCGGCGGGAATTTCGCCGAGGTTTCCATCGCCGAGGTCTCGTCCGTCGGGCCGCCTCAGCGACGGTGTTCCTGCAGGATCGTCAGGAGCAGGCAGAACAGAAGGTACGTGACGCTCGCGGACCGGACGTGGGCATGACTGTATCCGGAAGCGCGCGTCACATTGAGCATAACGGAAGCGTCGGCGATCCCTTCCGGCGAGCGGACCAGCAACAACCACTCGCCCGCGTGAGACCACTGAATCGTTTCGAAGCGCAGGGTCGTCCTGTAACACGATTCCGTGCCGCCGTCCTGGAAAAGAACAAGGCAACGTGTGAGGAATTGATTCGCACGGTGCGCGCCGGTGTCTCGTTTCCTGAGAAGATCAAGGCCGCCCGAAACCTCGGCGGGATGCCTGGAGGAAGAGAGAAGATCATCAAGTATTGTTACGTAGAATGTACGAATGCTTAACTCAGGAAAATTATTCATCAGGAAGATCTCAGGAAGAACATTTTTCTACATTTTCGATAAAATTCAGAGGCCTAAAAAAATCGATTAGATTTTCCGGTAGATATGGCAAAACAGATTTGAGAATTGTTCTTACGTACGCGGCCAAGTTCGCATTGCTTGTATTCTTCAAATCCTTGATTCGCTAAGCGCGACGTTTTTACGACCGCATACATTTCCGCTCGAAAACGGCTCTCCGGGAGTTAACTGAAAATTTTACTCACGCACGCAGACTACAAAAGAGGCAGACTACACAGACTACAGGTTACAACTTTATTCGCGGTTGACCCATATCGAGTCACTTTTTTCCCGGCAAAATGTCAGGCCCTTTAGAGAGGTTCTTAGCATTTCTGTACCATGGATACCTTAGACAGAATAATGTTTTTAATATATCAAATAAAACACAGAATTTAAAAGATAAATATATATATATATATATATATTGCAACACGTTTATTAAACATTAACGCTTTGCTGTTGCATCCACCGACTCAAGCAAACTGATCAATGATTCATACTTAGCTGCACTTTTCGACTGTAAATAAATACTGGCATAAAAGGATTTGTTTAAAATTGCAGCACATAGCTTTCTTGATATCACTAAGTCCATACTTTTTTCTTACAAATAAACATAATAAATTTCAACATTTGCATTTGTCCATCCATTTTCCCCACGCGTCTACTTTCAAGCGTAAATATATATGTATATCATTAATATCAACGTTCTTACATTGCGACATGGCTATATCGTCAGAGGACTGCAGAGCCGAAATTCGCGTGACGTTACTATGTCGTCGGCGGATCGCAAAGTGTTGAATAGGTGAATTTGCCAAATTCGTCGCGTCTACGGTAAGCTTCGGTCGGCGGTCAGCGAAGACAAAGGGGCCATTTTTTCCCGTTCAGGCTCGCCGATTTTCTAAAATTCACCCGTGGAGTCCCTGCTTCCGAGGGAATCCCGAGAAAGTTTTCTTTAACAAGGCGGAGCCGAGGGTAACGGCTAGGCTACAATTCACGACGATGGGACGAGACTCGCGCTTGCAAAGATCTTTACGAAGGTTTTCATGGCGCTTTCATGGCGTTTTAAACCAGCGAGATCTGGTTGCCGCGGGTCACGCTTCCGACCGAGACCGTTTTTATCGCATAATGCTCATTAACTCGCGATTTGATAACGTCCATCCAGTCGTCTCCTTATCGAGGGTTCTCTCCACTTCGCCCTCCTAGGCCTTTACGATTAAACTTTCGTAAAACTTCCGGGGGAAACTGGAAACTTCCGGCGTCGTCGTTCTACGTTTCTCGCTTCAATTATCCATCTTACCTTCGACCGCTTCCATTCAGGAAGCGTTCCCCTGCCCCTTCGATCTTCTTCGCCTTTCATCCCCTCGAAATGCGTTTTATTACTTCCCGCATTAGTACTTATATAATGACTCCCTCTTTCTCTCGGTCTTTGTTCACCGAAAAATCAATCGTATTAAACCGCTCTCGCAGGCCGTAGGGAACTTCCGGTTTATGGGATAATTGGCCCATAATAGGGGTGTAATATCGACGGCTTGAACACGATGATAGAGAAAAAAGAAGGAGGACCGAGTTTCCTCCTCCCGATGATAATTAAGATATATCTTTGACGATAGAGGTGCGGAAAGTTCGTCCCCTGCTCTTCCACGTTGTAAAATAATATAAGACGTTGCGATTCTAACGTATATCTGATGTCTTTCCGCCATTGTGAAATTCGAACGGGAATAATGTTACGTGACGCTTCGGCTTTCAATCTTATACCAGAACGTCACCAGGACGCACACAGACGACTTCATAAGAGACTTCGCCCGTTTTGGTCGCGCGAAGCCGTGTCAGTGAATATACACGGCGTGTCATTGTGTTCTTTTAATATCGCCACGGCGTTTTCCTCGCATCCGTTTTATTGGTAACGCGGCCGGGATCGAAGAGAAATACGTTTTGCGTAATTGAATCGGGCTCGCCTCGTCGTCGTCGTCGCCGTCCTCGTCTCTCGGCGATATTTCGCCGCCGCGATTCGGAACAGACGTCGTCGCGGAGGTCTCGCGAGTTTTTCACATGCAAGGAGTCGCAGTTTCCTGCTCCATTTAACCCCGCGTTTCACCCATCCACCCGCCAGCCTCCCTCCATCCTTTCCGGAGGCCCGCCTTTCCCCATCCGTCGATCCGTCCTTCTTGTATTCTCTATTCACGAGCTTTGCCCGCATTCCCTCCCGTTCTTCTCTTCCCTCCTTTCGCGAATCATCTTCCGTTTCACTCGCTACCGTTCCGTCGATCCTCCCCGGAGCTCCTGCGCCACCGTCTCTCTCTCTCCTATCGTTCCCTTTCATCTCATTTTATCTCCCTGCACCTTCCCATCCCTGCCTTTTTTACCACGCTATCATCTCGGCTTTACTTTACCCTCCCTTTCTTTGCTTCTCCGTCTTCTTCCTTTCTCGCTCTCTCTCTCTCTCTCTCTCTCTCTCTCTCTAGTTTCAAACTTTCTCCGCTAACGCATTCTAACCTTTTGACTTTCGTTTTTCCTCCCCCTCCCCTCTTTCTTTCTCCACCTCTCTCTTCCCTGTCGTGCCACCTCGTCGTCCGTCTTCCTTTACTTTGCTCGGTATTCCTTTGCTACCCTATTTTACTTCTCCCGTTCGAGTTTTCCTTTTTTCACCACCAAGACTCCCCAACGTTTCTCTATCTTCTATTAACCTATTCCCTTCGCGAGTCGCCGTTTCCAGCGCGCTTCTCCTACTTCACGTTTCCTTTTCGCTCACTTCCCGCATTTTGCTATCCTTATTTGCTAAACATATCTGAGTTTCTTACTGTTTTGTTCCGTCGCCGTTCTTTCCGATTCCATCTCCTTCCTTCGCCATTAGTTTTCCACTTTTTAAATTATTTTAGGAGTACGGCTTCCATTATTCAAAAACTGTTGTATTATTGATGTAACTTCTCTCTTATAGGAGTCGGTATGTTCATCAAATTATTTGCTAATCAACGGAATAAACACGTAAATTGTATATCTGTATTACCTTTTTTCCGTTCGTGCGTTGTTCATGTTCGCAATGGACTCCTCATGAAAACAATTACGTTATAGGGAAAGCGAAGTGAATATATATATACACATATGTGCACGGGCCTGCGTAAATAATAACGCGTAAAATTATATCTCGCTCGTTTTACGTTAATACCACTTAATAATTATTAAGCGGCGTACAACAAAGTCCACTTAATAATTAGTTGCGCTTGATATTAAATATTTCGATTATGAAAATATAAACGTTTTATTGACGCGCACAATTAATTTTCCACCTGCATTTGCAGTACTCGCATTTTACAACGCCAGCAATAAATGAGTCATCTCTCAATGCAACTGTATGTATACAAGTTTTCGAGAAGGCGAATCCACACGATAACTTTCAGCCAACTTTTGAAAAGCAGATCGATGCGTAAGCTGTGTTGTAAAAATATTTTGCGTATAAAGTGTATCGTGAAGGGGATTTTATAATACCTATTGGTTGAAAAAAAAAAACTGCGCGCGACAGAATCCATCGTTCCTCATAAGGGAAACGTCGCGAGCAATCCTCGCCGATTTTCATGGGATTTTCCTGGAATTCAGATACGGTGCAGTGCGGTAAAAAAATAACAGTTCTATAATTTTATGTACTTATTTCAACATTCAAAGATTGAAACAACCCCTAAAAAATGAAGGAGGATTTAACTTTAGCGAATATCACCGAAACTATGAAGAATGTGAAGAAAACATTTTATAGAAAAAATTTTACAGCATTTCATGATCTTGCTAACTTGTTATATGTAATAATATGCGATAACTTCTAAACACATTGCAGTATTGGAAGATGACTTATTTATCGCTGGCGTTGTAAAATACGAAAGCTGCGAATGCAGGTGAAAAATTAATTGTTTACGCCAGTGAATTTTTTATATTTTTATAACTGAAACTTTCAAAGGGTCGTTTCAACGTCGTAAACGTCGGGATAAACACATAAAAGAAAACACGTATACATTATGTTTTGCTGTTCTGCGTTATATCCAGAGCCCATCAAATTTTTAATACACAAAGAGTCAAATGTCCGGCCATTCCTGAGATCGAGAATATACGATTTTCTACCTTACATATTGAAAGGTTGGAAGTCACATTTGCTTGGCACGATGTTGACGACGTGCGTTCGTCACATATCGTGCGCGTCACCGTTCGAGTAGCAGCGCTGCGAAAAGTAACACACCCATCGACATTACGTAATCTGCCGAACAACACGCACATGTTTCCCGAATATTACAATTTACACGAAAGATGTAAAGCACTGTGCAGCGACACTACGCAGCCACGTTTCGCAACAAAGTCTGCAATTTTCAATGGAGTCGACCGCGCCAATCGTTACGCACGGCCGTGAAATCGAGCCGTGCGCGTTCCCGGTCGCGGAAAACGCCGAGAGAGAGAGAGAGAGAGGGGAGGGGGAGAGAGAAAAACAGAGGAATTGAACGAGAGAGATGGGAAGAACGAAGAGGATCAAACGTTAATAAAAACAAACGCAACACCGGTGCATCGGCAAATCCCTCGAAAGCTCCGTCGCATTGTCCGCGCCCGCCGGCACTCCTGGAAAAATGGTTAATCCGTCTTTTATGATGCAGCTACCTCTCCGCGCGGACGCGGATTTCGCGTCTCGGATGGAAAAAGAAACGCGCGCGAGCCGCCTCTGGAAATGAAATAAGCACGTATATACGTACACGCGAGCCAGTGCGCGATCTCTCTCTCTCTCTCTCTCTCTCACCCACACACACATACACCCATCTCGTCACCATTCCTGCCGTCATTCTCATCCTTTTCATCTCGTTTCCTGCACCCGCGCGTTTTCGCATCGCGAGACAACGTGCGCGATGTCGTGAGAGCCGCCACCCTTTTAGTAATTTCGTTTTCCTTCTTTTTTTTTTCGCTTTGTTTTGCCCCCCTACATACGAGAGCCAAGGCGCAATATCTCGGATATCGTGCGAACGTCCGCGCCGGGATAATTTTCGCGTCGAAGGACCGAACGCGCCTCCGGGGAGCGTGTAATCCGGGAGAACGGGCGCGCTCAGCGCGCGTGAACAACGTCTCGGTGTTGCGAAACACACCCGGCGGATTTTTGCGCGCACCTCTCGCGGGTCGCGCCCGCTCCAGCCCCGTTCTTTTCGTTTCTTTCTCTCCCATTTCGCTTTTGCTTTTCGCTGCGTTTTCACACACGCACGGGATTGCCCGAGATACATCACTGGGGTAAATATTTAAAATAGCGAGTCGGCCGGTATATTTTTGGGGGGAAAACCTTGTTGCCCCATCCAATTTGGTGATACGCAAGATCCACGATGACGCGGTGAGCAAATAACCGCGAGCGGAAGCGTCCCGTTTCTAACGGATTGTCGAATACAGGAATATGTATGTAAGTTAAATGATAATTCGCTATTGCAGAATCCGAGTTTCGCTTTTGCTAGACTGTTCTTAGTCTTCAATTTCGGATGTGATCGGAGATATTAAATATAATCACGCTGGAATGATCGGCGTGGAACACCGTGTTGAAAGATGCATTCTTACGTGGGCGAAAGATCTATTTGAGCAAATATTATTTCATCACGTTGAACCGCTAAATATTGTTGCGGTGTACAGGAGACGACAAATATTTACTGCGCGGTGTGTGATCAACGTATTTCTTGTGCAGTTACGCAGCACGGCGTTTGTTGTTTATCAAGCAGAGTTCGCAATTTCTGCACTCGGTATATTTTGCAATTACTTCTCTTTTGTAAAGTGGAGATGCAATAAATTAGTTTACTCGATAGTCCGTGAGGGTAAAAATATTTTCCACGGGGAAGAAACAAAGCGGTCGCGTTACGACGTAATTATTTAGAACAAAGTAACGGAAATTTGATTTGGCGCTCTTAATTCACCACGAGAGAGAACGATCAATTGCTCGCAGCGACATCAACAATCTACCTTGCGGAGCGAAGTTCCTCGAATTGACACTTCGTTTAAGAATGCATCTAACGAAACTAAAATAATAAAATAAAATTCTTTCGAACGTTAGAAGCTTTTGGTTAAATTAGATATCATTAGTTTTTGTTAGGTTTATTTGTACGAAGCGCGTACACTTGGCGCTTTTTTATCTTCTTTTCAAAGAAGGTAAATTTTTTACGGATATGTGCAAGAAAAATATATATCTTTCAGTTTAATATATATTTTCTCCTTTTATGCGATAAATAATATTTACCTTAATAATCGACGCCATTTCCAGATAAAAACAACTTGAAAATGTTAACACACGAGCAACTAATCGAGAAGAATGAAAATAATGAGAATCGAAACATAATTTTCAATAATTCGCCGACGCGTCGGTCGTCAATTTAATTTACTTATGCTTAATTTTCACCTAACGTCGGCTCGCACAGGCCCTTTCGTTTTATATTTCGACATTTCTTACGTCTCTGTGTCCGAAAAATATCAATATTTACACACATATATATATATTAATACGCGAGCAAGATTCGATGCAAATTTACCTCGATTGCGAGAGCCTGAACCCCATCGCGAGGGGGTGCGCCCGGTGTGTACACGTGCTCCTCCGACATCCAGAGGACCTTCGTGTAGCTCGGCTCGGCGCAGAACTCGACGACGATGTCCAGAGGTTCGCCCTCGTTCGCCGTCACCGTCTGACTCGGAGGATGAACCATGGGCCGTCCTACGGCAAAAAAGGAAAAGAAGACCGATTAACCTACGTCGAATCGATGTGCTCACCCTTTCCTACATTCCATTACGACTATAAATCCACCCTCCGTTGACACGGGAGTTTTTTTCTTACGCTTTCCCGCTTCGCTTATTAACAGGTTGAATTCTCGTCCGAGCGACTCGCTAATTATTTGTTTCAATCGCGAAGACGTGCTCGCGTTTTTCGAAGCTGTCGGATGGGAACTCTCGGCGGCGAATTCTTTTCTTTTTCGACCGTCATTGTCGTCGGTGTTGCCGGCGTGTTAAAATTCGGAGGAAACGAGTCGTGAGTGGCGGACGCGAGCGTACGCGTTGCAAAATGAAAGACACGGCGGAGGTGATCGATAACGTATCGTCAAATGGCGACTATCACGGCCGCCATTTCTACACCGCTGTGATCGATCTGGATTTTTTGTTTTTCCTTAAACAATCGTTGACGCGGAGATCCTTCGATCGATGCGCGAAGAGGGATTTCAGCCGACGACATCTCTTCTCCCGGACGACGTCAGCGAGTTTCTCACGTGCAAATCGCTGTTTGGCCTTAGATTGAGCGATATGAAACGTAAATGCGGGATAATAGAGAGACGGTAGACAGTAGGTGGGTCGGCTATTAACGCAGGACAAATGACATCACGACGGTGAATGCAGGATTTGTTCGCGTCGCGTGTTGTACACTGTGTACTCTCTCTCTCTCTCTCTCTCTATACCCTCCACACTCGCGACAGACATCAATCAAGCTTTCGCAAAGACGAGCGGGAAAGCGTAAGAGGGTAAAGAAGAGACAGGGCACGTGAAACTCGCGCGGTCGTTCGCGAGTGACTTCATCAAATCAAAATAGCCCCGTAAAATCGTCTTGTCTTCTAGTTCTTTGGCTCTTTGAATGCTGCGGACACATAGGGGATAGTTGACGAAGAGCACTTAAGGGGATGGCAAAATCGATGACGAACTTGAGAAGCATTTGTAATTCTCTGTAGCTGATACGACGTAAACTTTGCAGAAAGAGATATCGGTATTTTGCTGGCAAAGTCTCCAAGTGTACGGCATTCCCTTAAGTCGAGAACATTAATTCTGTTCTGTCTGATATCATATCTACTAATTTCCAGGCCGAACGTTCGACAATCTTCCCGAGTCCGGAATGCTCCGCACTGAACGGGTTAATTAACAGGGTTGAATTCAGTCGAGTGTCACATTAAATTCATGTTTAGGCCACCGGGCCTAAATTCTCAACGTTAATTACGTCATCTCAAGTGCACCTTCAGATATCGTACGGATCGTTTCATCGATTAATCAAGCGAAATCAAGCATCTGGAGATGAACTTGAGACGATCTTAAATGCATAAGATCTAACTCTAAATACCTCCCTTAAAGTCCGTTCTTACTTTCCGAAATCTTAAACTCCTTGAAGGGTTCAAACACACGGCGCGACTCGGCTGAAAGGAACGAGCCGGCGTTTAATTAGCGCCCGCTATTCTTGCGTTTCACGCTCACCCGTCGCTCTGCGCGCAAGGTTACTGTAAATATCGATCGTGATCGTCTATTTATCGCGGCCTCGAGTGATTTAACGCTGTTAAGCGTTATTAAATAGACGGGTAGGTCCGCTTGGCGCGGCCGTTCGCGAGGTGATAGATATTACTGTAGCGCGATAAATTTCTAAAAAGTTCTGGAGCCGAAATGTACGGCCGGTTCAGCGTGCATGTGTGTGTGTGTGGGTTGTATGTGCGTGTGTGACCCCTGCTGAACCCGTCCCCGGCCGTAAATTCCACCTTCGGTGACACTTCCTGTGCAGGGAATGACCCGTGGGAGGGGGAGGGAGGCAGAATAGGGATCGCCGACGATTAGCACTACTGTCACCCCGCCGACGTCTGCCGCCCTCTTCTGTTTACCGGCGCCTTGTGCCTCGTTAACGGTGAAAGATCGTTTGGTTGTTGGTGACCGTATTAATGGTACACGGCGGAACAAAACGGCCGGCATCGGTTAGCTGCGTGATGGCAAGTTGGAATCTTTCACGGGAGTCATTAGTGGACGCGGCCCCGAATTCGCGTCCTCTTATCTTCTTTCTCTTTAATCGCCGGTTGCAGGGATGCCTGAGTCGACGACGAGCTTAATAAGCGTCGATAACGTAGAGGTAATCTTCGAAATAATGTGTCGTGTAAATACTGATACGCCGCTCTTTCGTATTTTCGTACGTATATAGATCTTACGTAAATATAACTGCGATGTAAATGTGAATGCAATGAATGTGTGCTGCTCTGTTTTGCCGTCTAACGGAAAATCTAACGAAGATAGATACGTAAGATACATAAGGATCTTTCCGGAAACTTTTCGCATCATTTCAGGCCTCCGCATTTAACTGAAAAGATACAGAAATGCTCTTTGAAAACTTTCTATCGTTTTCATTTTCGCCACGTCAATGTGCTTTCCATACGTAGAGAGATATTGGAATTATATGTAACAAGGACACACACACACACATACACTCACACATGAAGTAAACAGTGCAGCGTCGGAATCAAATTCTCCGCGACGATCGAAATGAAATAGGCGCACCTTGCGAAGCGTCAGAACGGTAAAATGGCGAATATAGAATGTTCAGAACCGACTTAGACGGTATCCGCGCGCGTTCGGCGCATCCTCGATAATTGCGACCGCTTCCGAAAATCAGGCGGCAGCCGATGAGTCGGAACGCCGGCTCCGGCGATTTACAGCGCCGTTGATGCGAGAGAGCGAACTCTCGAGACGTCTTCGGGATTCCGGAGAGACGAGAGACGCCAAGTAATACCAGCGCGCGAGCCAAGCGCGGAAACTTGCTTGGCGTCGTGGCGACAATGCAAGCAGCCCGCAGCCACGTTACCGCGCGCGACGTGTCGAGCGTTCGCGCGCGCAAATTGCAATCACGGGTTTTCGATTTCCCAGCCTCAAGGCGATCGCGATTCCGCAAATTGTCTCGCGCCCGTATTCGGATTTCCTCTCCCGTCGCGCCGGCTGTATGTCGTAGTTTCGGGTTCGCGAGTTAGCGCTCGCGGCTTGGAAAATCGGCCGATGGAGTCGCTTGGTGAGCTTTCCTCTCGCGACTTTCCGTCTCGTCTGAGAGAGAACTCTCGTGTGAAAGTCGCCGAGACGCTCCTCATTACGAGGTAAATTACAACGAGTAAGAACAAGAGAGCCTCCAGCCGCGTTGCCACGGTTGCCCGTGGATTCTTCCTTTTTCAGACTGGATTAAACGTTCGCGTTGTCCGCCGAGTGATTTAAGCAGCGAATTAAGAGGCAGAGAGAAAGAGGAGGGGAGCGCCGGAGGGGAATCGCGTAATCCCGAACAATTTGTATCCGATATAATTTGTCCGGATACCATTCTCCGTCTTCCTCTCCGACGATCTCTCTCGCGTACATGTAGATTATATGAAGAGTCGACGGTCTTCCCGACGCATCGCTCAACCACCGCGAAAAGGAGAAAGCCGAATCAAAATTTCGATACTTGACGCTCTTAATGATAGTTCGCGTCTACGTGGACGGCCTGTAGATTAGCGCGGACTTATTTTAAACCTTGAATCCTACAGATTTCATTTTAATGCTACTTTGAAACTGTAAATCCTCTTTCGATGTTTTCAATATTAAATTAATAAGAGAATTCAAGACAACTTATTTTTACGCCGTAAACAACGAGACCGGAAATTTAGGTCAACGTCGTGGTGAAATTAGAAGCAAGTTATATCGTTAGAATTTAACCTATTTTGTTATCTCAGCCTTCGCTGCTTCGTAGAATTAAAGGTTTAACGATGGGCCGAAATTTCGCCTCGGGAAAGAAGAAAAAACAATTATTATCGCTCGTCCACACTCGAACGTCTGATTATACCATCGTCTCGGCGGCTGCACGGCGACGATCGGTCAACAGGCAGTTCCTATGACAAATTCCGCGGTATCGTTAACTTTATCCGCGTACTTTGGCTAATTGAAGCGTGGACGCCGCTACTTAACCCCCCCCCCCCCCC